GGGGGGATGAATTACTATAGGGGGGATGAATTACTATATGGGGGGATGAATTACTATGGGGGATGAATTGCTATATGGGGGGATGAATTACTATGGGGGGATGAATTACTATAGGGGGGATGAATTACTATGGGGGATGAATTACTATGGGGGATGAATTACTATATGGGGGATGAATTACTATGGGGGATGAATTACTATGGGGGATGAATTACTATATGGGGGATGAATTACTATGGGGGATGAATTACTACGGGGGATTAATTACTATAGGGGGGATGAATTACTATGGGGGATGAATTACTATATGGGGGATGGTGGGATGAATTACTATATGGGGGATGAATTACTATGGGGGATGAATTACTATGGGGGATGAATTACTATAGGGGGGATGAATTACTATAGGGGGGATGAATTACTATATGGGGGATGAATTACTATGGGGATGAATTACTATAGGGAGGATGAATTACTATATGGGGGATGAATTACTATGGGGGATGAATTACTATATGGGGGATGAATTACTATATGGGGGATGAATTACTATGGGGATGAATTACTATGGGGGATGAATTACTATATGGGGGATGAATTACTATGGGGGATGAATTACTATATGGGGATGAATTACTATGGGGGATGAATTACTATGGGGGATGAATTACTATATGGGGGATTAATTACTATAGGGGGGATGAATTACTATATGGGGGATGAATTACTATGGGGGATGAATTACTATATGGGGGATGAATTACTATGGGGGATGAATTACTATGGGGATGAATTACTATATGGGGGATGAATTACTATGGGGGATGAATACTATATGGGGGATGAATTACTATGGGGGATGAATTACTATGGGGATGAATTACTATAAGGGGGATGAATTACTATATGGGGGATTAATTACTATGCTTACTATGGGGGAATATTACTATACTTACTATGGATGGCATGGTAGTGGCTGGGCCGGCCAGCAGCTAGTCCGGCCCCCGGGTCCAATATATGAACCCATTGTGGCCCTCAAGTCAAAAAGTTTGCCCACCCCTGAGCTAGCCTCTGTCAGTGCGCGCCCTGTGTGCAGCCCCAGCGGCCGGCTCTACACAGCTCCAGTCAGGTCATGTGGTATAGGGGGGGCGTGACTTTCTGTGTAGCGCCGCGGCGGCGAGGCAGCATCCTCTCTCTGTCTGCCGCCCTCAGAAGAAGACTGTGCCTCCCAAATCAGCAGCGTGTCATCCGGTAGGTGTAGCAATGGCCTGGCCTGCCTGCCTCTGGGGACTCAATTTCTGTGACAGAAAAAGGAAGGGTTGGGGGGGAATGGAGGGGGGGGGGGGGGATGAATATGAACTATATGCCTCTGGAACTTGGAAATGAGAGATGTGGGCAGGGCCAGGGAGAGACAAATGAAAGGGGTGACTGATGGCCATCATGGAGGGGGGGGGATGATTATGAATTATGTACTCATATGAGAGATGTGAACTGTGAACAGGGCAAAAAGAAAGGGGTGACTGATGACCATCATGGGAGGGGGGGGGGGGGGTGGTGATTATGAATTAACTTATTGAAACTAAAAACAGTGTACCATCCTATGTATTTTCAGTTTTAAAAATGTGGCTCTCAAAATAAATTTCAATCGTGGTTTTAGCGAGATTTGGCTCAGTTGAAAAAAAGGTTGCCCACCACTGTGCTAGTCCATCTAAAATTCCCCTCCCCCCAGAATGACAATGCTGCTGTATAGAGGTGCCCCCTGTGCTCCTTCATCCAGAGTGGAGGCGCTCTAATATATGAGATGTGTTACTGGCAAGATCACCAGGAGAAAACAGAAGGGGGGGGGAGACTAAAAAAAGAAGACAAATGCAGCCACCACATCTAATGATTGGTAAGCTGCAATAGATGACATTTTTTGGTTTGGGGTTTAACCCCTTGGCGCCGGCGCCTCCTGGCCCTTTAAGGGTGTCAGAAGCCGGGGAGGCGGGGCGGGGTTTTAGGGTCATGTGACCACTGTGATCGGAAAAGGTCCTGATCGAAAGAGGAGATCGGACCTTTCAGTGAGTACCAGACAGGCTCTCAGCACATTTATTTTTCTTAATTGCACGCAAATGTGCGGCCGCTTGGCGTCAAGGCTCAGACTTCGGGAGACCCACACATTTGCGTGTGGCCGGCGCCAAGAAGTTAATACCGATTTAAAGCTACCTGTAGTTGGAATCTGGGGCTGCTTGTTATTGGCTTGGGGAGCCCTTAGGCTAGGTTTCACACCTACGCAGTTTCTGAAGTGCTTTTTGCGTTTTTGAACATGCGTTTTGCGTCTTTTTTTTTTCACAACTCGTGGCTGGGCAGATGACAGTGCAAAACACATTAAAAATGCATCAAAAATGCATAAAAAACTAACTATATGCATTTTTGCAACATCTAGTAATCAAAAAACGCAGCGTTTTTCATTTAAAAATATTATAATTATTATTATTTTTGTTATTATTATATTATTATTATTATATTATATTATTAGTATTATTATTATATTGTTGTTATTATTATTATTATTATAGTATTATTATTGTTAATATTTTTATTTAATTATATAATAATATTATTATTATTATTATATTATATTATATTATTAGTAGTAATATTATTATATTATTATTATTTATTATTATTGTTATTATTATTATATTATTATTATTGTTATTATTATATTATTATTATTATTATGTTATTATTATTATTATTATTATTATTATTATTATTATTGTTATATTATTATTAGTATTATTATATTATTATTATTATTATTATTATTATTATTGTTATTATTATTATTATTATTATTATTGTTATTATTTTTATTATATTATTATTATTATATTATTATTGTTATATTATATTATTATTAGTATTATTATTATATTGGTATTATTATTGTTATTATTGTATGATTATTATTATATTATAATTATTATTAGTGTTATATTATATTATTATTATTATTATTATTATACAGGATTTATGGCGCCAACAGTTTGCTCAGCGCTTTACAATATAACGGGAGACAATACAGCAACAATACAGTTCAATACAAGAGGGATAGGAGGGCCCTGATCCTGGGAGCTTAAATCTTAAATAATCCCTGTCCCTTTCCAAAAAATGCACCGGGGTGAATACGCGGCGGAGATATGAACCTGTCCCGTAGGAAATCATGTTAAATGGACTGCTGTGCGTTTCTGCAAAACGCAACGGAAGACGCCTGGGTGTGAACCTAGACTTAGTCAAGAAGAGAAAAATCTGCAACAAAGTAACATCTAGAGCATCCTTTCCCAACCTTCCCTGCACCCTTGAAAAGTATGCAAAAATCTCTAACGATACATTGTTTTTCAGGGCACATTTGGTGGCAAATTATAATAGATATCTCCTGATTGTTACCTTATGAAAGTTAAAACTGGGCCAAAATGGGCCAAAATAGTAAAAAAAAAAAAACCTAGCTCCAAAAATACATAAAAATTTTAAATTATGAGATCTATATTTTTTTTAAACTTAGCTCCACATTTAAGGCCAATACCATGACCCGACCAAGAAGTCGAAAACAAAAATAAAATTTGTACAAAAACTGACCCAAAATGGTAAATAAATATTTAATTTGGTGGCAAATTATAATAGATATCTCCTGATTGTTATCTTAGGAAAGTCAAAACTGGGCCAAAATTTTACTAATATACAAAAACTGGCCCAAAATGGTAAATAAATATTTTATTTTTAAAGAAAAAAAACTGACCTAAAATAGTAAAAAAAAAAAAAAGAAAAGAAAAAAAAAAAAAAAAAACTTGCTCCAAAAATACAGAAAATATTTAAATCATGAGATATGTATTTTTTAAATTTAGTTTTTAGCTGTAAAAATGCAGCGTTTTACAAAAAAAAAAAGCTAGAAAACACCACTAAACGCTAATGCAAAAACACTAAAAAAAAAGCTGAAAAATGTGACTTTACACAGCTAACATTACCAGCGTCATCAAAATGTCTCCCCCCCCCCCCCCCCCCCCCCCCCCCCCCCCCCCCCGCCCCAGTGTGCATGAGGACTAAACGCTACTAAAACGCTCCTAACAGCTTTTTCCTGACCGCTCCATGTTGTGGCAGCACTCAAATATGGCAGAGTTCCCTTTAAACACTAACACTTCCATCAGCCAGGTTTTCAGCTCACTCTCCCCCTCCCTTATTTCCAGTGAGTAATATGGCCTATAGCTAGAACCCGACCTGCTGTCAGCGGCTGCTCCAAGGGGCTCCTGTTCCGTTGATGCTGCTGGAATTCTTTTCATTTTGGTGTCACTCCCCTGTGATGGTGTCCCCAACCACCACCAGTACATCCCCCCAACCTCTGCCGCCACCACCACCACTAAAATTGGTCAAATAAGTAAAAAAAGAAAAAGATGGCGGCCCACACCCCCCTAGTGACGCCACTGAGTATAAGACATCCCTTTAATATTCGTTTGTGCTCTCCAGTTTCTCCAAAAAAAAAAAAAAGAGAGAAGGTCTTCATGTCGTCAACAACTCCCTTGGATGGTTTGTGTACTTCGCAGAATATTATTGTAATTCTGATGTAGATTTCTACCTTTTTGTTGCTTTTCCTTTTCATCTTGTCCTGTTCTCTGGCAGGTTTGGGTTCATTGACCACCTGGTGACTTCCGGGCTATCGGCATCCCTCCAGCAGTGGTTATCCCTTTAGGGTTTGTTACTAAGCAAGCTATTTTCTACTTCAATTAATTATTGGGGTTTTTTATTTGTTTGTTTTTTAGCTGCTTTAACCCCTCGCCTACCGGGCACTTATACCCCCTTCCAGTCCGGACACTTTCACCCCCTTCCTGTCCGGACACTTTCACCCCCTTCCAGTCCGGACACTTTCCACCCCCTTCCTGTCCAGGACACTTTCCCCCCCCTTCCAGTCCGGACACTTCCCCCCTTCCAAGTCCGGACACTTTCACCCCCTTCCAGTCCGAACACTTTCCCCCCCTTCCAGTCCGGACACTTTCCCCCCCTTCCAGTCCGGACACTTTCCCCCTTCCAGTCCGAACACTTTCCCCCCCTTCCAGTCCGGACACTTTCCCCTCCTTCCAGTCCGGACACTTTCCCCCCCTTCCAGTCCGGACACTTTCACCCCCTTCCTGTCCGAACACTTTCCCCCCTTCCAGTCCGGACACTTTCCCCCCTTCCAGTCCGGACACTTTCCCCCCCTTCCAGTCCGGACACTTTCCCCCCCCCTTCCAGTCCGGACACTTTCCCCTCCTTCCAGTCCGGACACTTTCCCCCCCCTTCCAGTCCGGACACTTCCCCCCCTTCCAGTCCGGACACTTTCCCCCCTTCCAGTCCGGACACTTTCCCCTCCTTCCAGTCCGGACACTTTCCCCCCCTTTCTTCCCCTTCCAGTCCGGACACTTTCCCCTCCTTCCAGTCCGGACACTCCCTTCCCCCCCTTCCAGTCCGGACACTTTCCCCCCTTCCAGTCCGGACACTTTCCCCCCCTTCCAGTCCGGACACTTTTACCCCCTTCCAGTCCGGACACTTTCCCCCCCCCTTCCAGTCCGGACACTTTCACCCCCTTCCAGTCCGGACACTTTCACCCCCTTCCAGTCCGGACACTTTCCTCCCCTTCCAGTCCGGACACTTTCACCCCCTTCCAGTCCGGACACTTTCCCCCCCTTCCAGTCCGGACACTTTTACCCCCTTCCAGTCCGGACACTTTCCCCCCCCTTCCAGTCCGGACACTTTCACCCCCTTCCAGTCTGGACACTTTCCTCCCCTTCCAGTCCGGACACTTTCACCCCCTTCCAGTCCGGACACTTTCCCCCCCCCCTTCCAGTCCGGACACTTTCACCCCCTTCCAGTCCGGACACTTTCCCCTCCTTCCAGTCCGGACACTTTCACCCCCTTCCAGTCCCGACACTTTCCCCCCCTTCCCCCCCTTCCCCCCAGGCCAATTTTCAGCTTTCAGCGCTGTCACACTTTGAATGACAATTTCGCGGTCATGCAACACTGTACCCATATGAAAGTTTTATCATTTTTTTGAGACAGAGCTTTCTTTTGGTGGTATTTAATCACCTCTTTGTATTTTTTGCTAAACAAACCCAAAAATAACTGAAAATTTTGAAAAAAAAATGTTTTTTTTCTTAGTTTTTGTTATACAATTTTGTAAATAAGTGATTTTTTCTCCTTCACTGATGTGCGCTAATGAGGCTGCACTGATAGGCACTGATAGGCTGCACTGATGGACACTGATAGGTGTCACTGATGGGCACTGATGAGGAAGCACTGGTAGGTGACACTGATGGGCATTGACAGGCATCACTGAAAGGCAGCACTCATATATGGCACTGATAGGTGGCACTGACTGGCACTGTTAGGTGGCACTGATAGGCAGCACTGACAGGAACTGATGCGCACTGATAGGCGGCACTGATAGGTGGCACTGACTGGCACTGATAGGTGACACTGAAAGGTAGCTCAGATGGGCACTGATATGTGGCATTGATGTGCACTGGTAGGCACTGATATGTGGCACTGATGGGCACTGACAGGTGGCATTGATGAGCACTGACAGCTGGCATTGATGGACACTGACAGATGGGACTGCTGGGGTTACACTGATCATCAGGGCACACTGATGATCAGTGCCCTGATGATCAGTGTAGATATCCCCTTTGAGGAATGCCGATTACTGGCTCTCCTCTCCTCTGTCAGCGTGACAGCTCGTGAGGAGAGAAATGCCAATAACCGGCATTTCCTTATTCACATGCGATCAGCTGTGATTGGACACAGCTGATCACATGACCGAGCCGACATCTTCAGCTCTTTCCGTTGATCGGTGATTCGCTGTGTCCGAGGGACACGGAGCACCACCGATCGCCGCGCTGCGTGCCCCCGGAGCCGCACACGTGTGGTTAGAGTGGGAAGACATCATATGACGCCCTCCCAGAATGAGAGAACCGCCTTGCGCCTGTCCATGACCTTATATGGCGGGCAGGAGGCGGTTAAGCAGCAGGCAAAACCCTGTGAAAGGATTATCAAGTCTGGCAATGAGCCGGTTCAGAGCTTTCCCAAGCAAGACAACCCTCTTCAGACTTTTCAAAAAAGAAGACACAGATAAACATGAATGTGTTTCGCTCACCCTGTGGAGGGGTTATGTGTTCCGACCAGGAGCAGTCTCATAGCCTTCCCAGGCAGAACAGACTCTTCAGACTCTCCAAAGGGGAAAAGACAAATGGACATGACAACACGAATCGTGTATTGTTCAAGCAACCACAAATGAGGATGCTGACACCCAAAACGTTGTCACATACATTAAGTGGCCAGTGCCAGTGGAGTTGTTTTCCACTCATAGCCATGCCAGGCAAGACAGCCTCTTCAGACTCTATGAAAAGGAAGAGGCGAACGAGCATGACTATGTATCCTTCTGGTTTAAGCTGCCAGGGATAGAGATGATGACACCGGATGTCCCATTCAATAAACACATTGTCAATACAATAAAGGAATGGTTTCCAATTACCCTTTGAAGGGTTATCTGCTTTGGCAATGAGAAGCTGCCTGGTCTTCCCAGGTGAAGCATCCCTCTTCAGAGTTTCCAAACAGGCTGATGTGGACGAACATGACTGCATGAATACTGCTTTGTTCGAACAAGCAAGGATAAAGATGACACCTAACAGGTCGTCACATGAGGCTAATACACTCTAAAGGAATGTTTTCATTCACACTGTGAAAGGGTTATTTGTTCTTTCAATGAGCAGTCTCTTAGCCTTCCAGGTAAACAATCCTCCTCAGAATCTTCCAAAAGAAGATTCAGGTGAGCATGACTGTGTGAGCCGTGCTGGTTCAAGCAACCAGGGTAAAGAAATTGACGCCTAACAATTGATCACATTCATTGACCATGTGGTCAATACATTCTAAAGGAGTTGCTTCCACTCACCTTGTGAAGGGGTCATTCTGCCAATCAGCAGTCTCAGAACCTTCTCAGTCAAACCAACCCTTGCCAGATTTGTCCAAAGAACATGTGGACAAACATGACTGTATGATTCCTGCTTTGTTTAAGTAGACTGTGATTAAGACGATGGTGACCAAGTTGTCACAGTTAGTTAAGCATGTGGTCAAGCCACTCTTAAGAAATTGCTGAATTCACCTTCTGCAAGGGCATCTATTCTGGCAATGTCCAGTTTTTCTTTTAGGGATATTATAATTGGCCTTAGAGCCTTCTCAAACCAATCAATCCTCATCAGTCCCTTTTGAACAAAAAGACGAGGATGACCTTTGTCCAGGTTGTTGATCCCTCCTTTTGGAAGGTTGATGAAATTCCTTTTAAATAGAAGCAAAGCTGTGGAAGAATTTCAAGGGCCTCCAGAGGACGGCTTGACAATTCTCTGATGGTGATTGAATCAAGTGCCTGTTCTACAAGATTAGAGCATGTTGTCACAGCAGGATGTCAAGGGTTTTGAATCACCCCTTTGGTCGATGTGTCCCTTATAGGATTGGCCAGATACATGACTTTACCATTAGAAGATGCTGTGGCCTTCAAGGATGTACTCAATAACTGCATTGTTCTTGATCATGGAAGGTGAAGTCTGAACTAATAGTGCTCAATTTGACTTCCTGCCTCAAAATAAACATCTGTTGAGTTAAAGGAGACTGGAGCTCAGGAGTCCGTTTCCACGCTCACTCCACAGAGGGTATCTTCTGCATCTCTGGCTGGGAGTCAAAGAAAAAGCCAGTACATAATCCAGGAAGTCAGCGAAGAGCATCGTGTCAGGATGCTTTCTAATATTTTGGGAATTGTGCCAACCATACATGTCTTATGGGCACTTGGTGGTCCCTCATTGGACATAGGTACAGCTTTGGTGATGGACACATAGTTACTCAAGGCAGGCATTTCAGGCCATATTTGGGAGATCTTTCATCCTTCATATCTCAGATCCAGCAGGTCAGGTAGACTCAGTTGAACTCTCACCCCATATCAAGTTGGGTTTCTGAACTGGTAGCAGTCAGAAGATATGGATTCCTGTATGGAAGCAAGCCAAAACTTGTAGTTGGAAAAGCAGAATCTTCTGCGATGCCATTCCTATCTGACGACCTAGTGGCTGGTGGTGCAGTAAGACACCAGCAAAGTAGGAGTTAAGAACTGAATTTCAGGCTCTCCTAGCCTTCAGTGACCTCATCCAAGGTGGACCTGCCCTGGTGAAGTTAGACAGTACAATGACTGTGGCCTACATCCGGAAACAAGGGAGCACGTAGTGTCTCCCTCCTGAAGGAGGTTTCTCTGATTCGAGAGTTGGCCCAAGTCAATATCCAGCAGCTATCTGCTGCCTATATGCCTGGTCAGGGGAATCATTAGGCAATCAATGTGTCCAGGAGAATCCTGGATGACAATTAATAGCCCAGACTTTAAGAACTAATGAGCTTGGTAATCACTTCCAGAGGTAGACCTGTTCACATCCTCAGTCAACATAAAGTTGCTTTCTATTCCAGGTTCCAGCATCCATAAGCAATGGGGGTGAAGGTGCTGATCGCAGAGTGGATCTTCAGGACAGCTTATGCCTTTCTGCCTCTCCCTCTGATTCTCAGCTTCCTGCTGAGGCTGTGGCAGGGGAAGGTGATAGTTCTGGTGGTGATCCCACTTTGGTTGAAGGGGCCTTGGTACCCTCTGCCCCTCCTAATGAGTGCCAAGGATCCACTCTCTCTGCCGGTAAGATTGGATTCTTTGAAGTCACATTCATCCAACACCTGGCAGGCTCAAGCTCATGGCTTGGGTCTTGAGAGGCAGAGGCTAGTAGATCTTGGGGGCTCTGTAAAGGTTGTGCATACTCTTATGAAAGCAAAGAAGAACAGCACTAACAGTGCCTATAGTGGAATATGACATAAATTCACAGGATTGCTGCTGATCAAGGTTTTACACTGGGCTCTCCAAGTCTGTCACATTCTGAAGTTTCTGTAGGCGGGGCTTGATTTAGCTTTATGTGCAAGTACGCAATGGGACCACATTTCAGCTATCTCTGCCTTCACCAGCATACAGTGGGCATCCAACACTCAATTATACTGTCCTTCAAGCTGCAACTTGGTTGAAACCTACCTAAGGGATTGTTTGTGAAGTGGAATCTCCCATTGGTGTTGGACTTGCTTGCATCAGATGCCTTCAATCAAAGTGGCCCCTTGTGGTACCTTTTACTGAAAACTGCCTTCCTGGTGGCAATTATATCAACCAGAAAAGTGTCCGTACTAGCAGCCTTGGGGTTTAAAGAACCCTGTCTTACGTTCATCCTGGATAGGGTGGTACTCATGCTGATGCTCAAGATCGTGCCTAAGTGGCCTTCATAGTCCATATCGCATGGAAAGCTGTCCTTCCTTTATATCTCTTGGGGAGTACCCAAGAAGTTAGCCCATCAGATGTGGATCAAGCTCTAAATTTTAACATCAAGGCGACATCTGGCATCAGGAAGTCAGAGCACTTGTTTGTCATTCCAGGTGGAGCGTGTAATGATTTTATGGTATCCAGCAAGATTATTGCCTCCTGGTTGGTGAAGCTCATCTCCTTGGCCTACAAGTAGAAAGGGTTGGCTGTGCCAGGGGGGATCACTTCTGTCCACTCAAAAGGTCTCATCTTTGTGAGCGGCAGCAGACTGTGTGCCCAGACCCTATCTGCAAGGCAGCTACATGGGGGTCAATATATATGTTCATGGCTCATTACTTGTCAGGGCAGGGGCCGAGGAACGGACAGGCAGGCCTAACAATGTAACGCACTGGCTGACGACAACCACTACCCACAGACCGAAGTCCCTCAGGGCGCGGAGTCTAAGTCCCAGGCTGCCCTTCACCAGGGCCCCTGATGGTGG